AAGGCGGCGAGGGAGAGCGAGCGAGAGGAAGGGTTGCTCCGCTCTGTTGTGTGTGGGCTTTAGGGTTTTTTTTTTTTTTTTCCTTCTTTTTCTACTTCCATCCTCTCCCCGCCACTGGAAGTCCTCCCGTATCTAAATGGAATTAGTGGAGACCGAAGCCCCTTCTGTAAGGAACAGACATGACCCATGGGCGCAGCTTCTTTCACAGTGAGTATCTCCCCCCTCTTGCCATCTCTCTCGGCTTTGCTCTGCCTCCGCGCAGAGGTTGAGGGGAGGGGGCACCTTGTGCTGTTTCCGCAACTAGGATAACGGGACGCCCAGACATTCATGGCGCAGGGGTAAACTTTCTCCCCCCTCGCTCCATCCCCATTACTGTGCTGTGCAGCAGAGGGAGGTCGGTAGCTAGAGTCCGCACGGTGATATGGGAGTTGGGGGGATGCGTGTTCGCGCAGGCTGGAGGGTTTCACCTGGGCGCAATGTGTTTAATGGCTTTCCAAGTGTAAGGGTGGTGGGGAACTACCCTCGCCCTTCGCGACAATGCGGTGTAGCCCCAGGCGGGACTCGAACCAGCGGCGCCGGAGCGCCGCTACACGCACCAGCCGCGGCGCCCCCGCTAGCGGGCTTCGGGGTGGGGACGGCCCCCTCGGGAAAAATCCCCCGGGAGCTGAAAGAAGACATGGAAGTATATTAATTTTTCGATAACGATCCCCAGGGGCCTCAGGCTACCTGCATGCAACTATCTCTCCCGCCCAATTTTGCATAGGGTCCACCCTCCTGAAGAGGCTTGAGGAGACACAGTTCCCTTCAGTACCTCTGTGTATGCCCGCACCTGTAAAATAACAGCGCTGTGTAGGTAACGCTTTTCCAAAAACTCTTGGCGGGGCTAAACCACATCCAAGCCAAACCATAGCGCCCAGAAGCTGCCTGGCCAAGAAAGAGACCTTTTAATGTATGACTTGCAATGGGAAAATGCAAAGATCCTACAGATGCATCATAAGAGTGGCACTAGAAAGCATGATTATAACCAGACTGATGATTAGGAGAGAAACAGGGAGGAGGAAAGCAGAGAGTGCAACAAGAAATGTGCAACAAGAAATTTGATGGAAACTACTTTGAAATAATTCTCAAACCCGCATAATGCTAGTATTGTTGCTCTATTGTCAAAGCTTCTTGAGTGACAGTTTTGTCTGAGTAAAGACTGCGTGATTGGGATCGTTGGAGACTTTTTTTCTTTTCCAGTGGTTTGAGACAAAAAAGGAGAGGGATCGTAGAATAAATGGGATTGTTTTGACTGCTTGAATGAAACACATTGTGTAAACTTTTCCCATGAAGCCAATAATTTTAATTACTTTCTTGCAATATGTGTATTTTGGTAATGCTAGTTTTAATGACACTAAATCAAGTGGCATGCTCTGTCTTTTAATGTAGGAGAAGTATCTCAGTCTGTGTGTGCAAATGTCTTTGCTATGATATATCAAGGAAAAGCTCAGGGTATCTTAGTCTCTTCTTGTCTATTACATTTTATTTTCAAAATCATTTCAGCTCCTTATGAGTAATGAATACTGGCATGATGATGTTTAAGTAGAGCTCCCTGCTTTGGAGCAACATGGCTCTGTGACTTGGAAGCATTCTTTCCAGCAGTTATGACTGAAACTGAAATGGCCTGTGTTCTTTCTATCATCTTTCCAATAATATTTTGGTGACTTGGACAACTTACTTTATTTCTCTGAACTTCAATTTTTCTGTGTAGAAAAAGAGAGGAGAGCTAATACTTAAAGGTGCTTGAAAGGCATCTACAAGAATAAGGTATGAGTTGTTATTAACAGCCTAGTAAGAAAGGTCTCTGACTTAGCCACGAGTTTACTTAGCTGCTTTGTCTCCTCTTCTAGCTCCCATAAATTTGTGGGAAGAAAGAATGCCTGCAGCTGGCTCCATAGTCTAACACCTTATACTATCGAGAAATTACATTTTGACTAGTGAGGATTATAGGCATAGATGCAAAATGTTCGCTGCAGGAAGCACAGCAAAGTAAATGAGCAGCTTAGTAAATGGGCAAATCTTTCGTTGCCTTCAGATTCTGACATAGCTAAAGGGTAGAGTCCCAGCTAGCACGTATTTCCAGAATCCATCTCTAAGGAGAGTAAGGACATGAATGGTTGGGTAACATCCAGGTCCAAGTAGCAGATGTAATGTTCTCACTGAATGCAGATGACACAGAAGACTTTTTAACTACCAGCTTTGCCAACATTCATCTCTGTTAGCTGGGGATTCAAAAGGCACAGGGGAGGTGAGCCTGACCAACAGTGAGTATGCTGCCAAGTCTTCATTTCGCAGCGCTTCAACCTTTCTCTGTTTAATAAGGTAGCCGTCCTCCATGTCTGAAACTCTCTGTCGCATGGGAAAGGTTAAAGACATTGAAGTATACATCTCAATGCCATTAAAATACTGGAAATATAGAGAAACTGGCCTCCTTCACAGTTAAAATGGCACACAATTTATGGCATAAAATCTGAAAATGATGCAACGACATTTGAGAAGGGACCATTTGGGTAGCTAGTTACTAGCCTGTGATGCCTTTTGGTATCTCTTCGGGGTAAGGAGAGGAAAGTATGCCATTCAATTACATCTGTTAAAGACCACAAGTCTATTAATTCCTCATAGTCAACACTACAAATCACAAGTCATTGATCTGAAGTAATCAGGATAAACATGCAAGTTCATCAGTACTTTAGCTTTAGTGAGATCTGGGCACTATGTCCAGGCTGAATGCCAAAGTAGCTGGGGTCAAAATCCCTCAGCACTCCAGGAACTGATGGATCTGTTCTCTTAGGCTCTTGCTATCCCACTTTCTCCAACAGCTGAGCAAGATATAGGTAAAGGGAGGAAAATGCTACCCTCAGTGGACAATTTCTTTATCAGGTAGATAGCTAGTGACCAGAACGTTGCTACCTTGGTCTTCCAAAGCAATCTCATTACTACAGGCCTAAGCATTTCCCTTTAGCTTTTTTCCAGTCAGAATTTCATACTCTGTAACTCCTAGAAACTCAGAAATTTTGCTGGAGAGCTTGAAGTCAAGCTAAGAAAGACCACATTTGTTCTCATAGATGTGCCATCATGGTTGCAGATAGAAATTTTTATTTGTAAAGCAGGCTGCAGATTCATTGCAGCATAAAGCAACTCGCTCTCGGAGAGTCGCACAAACTAGATTAATGGGACTGTCAAGTTTATACAATAATTTATTTCATTGAGAATTTGCAAATATGGGTGCATATGAGGAACCCGACCCCTCATTTCTTTCTCATTTCTTTCATAGTCACAATATCCATTTTCAAATTTTAATATGCCATAGTAGCAGAGATTACTGGCACTGAAACTTAGCAGGCTTTCATCTCCTTCTGTTAGAAGCAATCACTTTTTTATTATTGGCTCAAGTTATGATAGTACATAAATTGGTTAAATATTTTGTTCTAATATTTAGAAAGGAAACAAATAGGAGGGAAACATCAGTGCTTGGGGATTTTTTTTATTTTAATCAAGATCTCCTCTTTAGTTGGCTACATCTACAAAGATACATACTTCCATGGGCAGATCACAGAGAGATGTGTTTATACAAGAAATGTAATTTAAAGATGCAAGTAAACATGAAACAGATCGTTTTTGTGCAGTAATTCTATTAAACTTGTATTCTTGTGCATTAGATGTTTACAGTTGCTTTGATTGCAGGCGCTAGCACACTGTGATATCCAATTTATTTTTCTCTTTCAGTTGTAGCAAGTCTAATCATCCTACATTTGTCTGGGGCAACCAAAAAAGGAACAGGTATGTAAACTTCAGATATTATTTCAGACATTATATTAGAGTCTAAAGTATGGATTTTAGTTGTTAGTTTTTAATAGCATACCTACTTCCAGAGCCTGCCTTTTGTTCATTTGTTTTTAGTATTAGTGTGCCTGTGATCTGATAAAAAATCCAATGGTACTTATTTTAACAAGTAATGATGTGGTGCTAAATATTAGTGGCTTAAGTGAGGTGGAACAGTTCTTCTCAGACAGACAGATAGATAGATTTTGAGCTTGCAGTATACAGGAGCTTCCTGGGACACCTGTGTGAGGTCTTTGCTCTGTGCCAAAGTGCGGGAAGGGGTGCAAGAGTTTCAGGGCTAGGAAGAAAGCAAAGAAGAGGGGCTGACTCTGCTCTCTAATGATTCACCTAGGAGAAGGGAAGTTCTGAGCTGCAGTTCTTGGCCCCAGAGCTATTTATACATTTTACAGCAAACAACAAGTTAAAAATAAAGATAATCTTAGAACCAGAATCCAGGAATTCCCTCTATCCATCTGTCAGGTGGATGTAGAGCTAAGCTGCTTTGAATTAGAAACAATTCTTATGTTCTGTCTGAATTCCACACGTTTTCTTCTTGATTCCATGACTCTGACGTTTTCCTGCACCATAGCATGCAGCTTGCTGATAGGGCACATGCTTGAGTCCTCTGAAACATATGAAAGAGAAACTCGTGTCTCCCATTTCTTGAACAGGTGCTTTTCCTACAAGGGTTTTATTTCAAAAGCAATATAAATGCGTCTTCCCCTGGACATCCAAGCCCCTTCTATCCTCGGAAATCAATCTTGAATGAAAAGGTATTTTGAGGAAGAATTAGATGTTCTACCCCCAAAGGACAGTTTCATTTTCCCCAAGTTAGTGATGATACTCTTTATCTTAACAGAAAAAAACTTTGGCCACTAGCAGAAGTGACTGTTTTAACCTGTAAGAGAGCTCTAAGAGTCAGAGAGACATAATAATTTGTGAGCTAATTATATAATGTTTAATGTGATCATTTTATAGAAAAGCAAACTACTTCCGAAGGACAGAAACCAGTGCAGTGTGGAACTTGGACAAAATATGCAGAAGGAGGCATCTTCACCTCTCCCAATTATCCCAACAAGTATCCTCCTGACAGAGAGTGCGTCTACATTATAGAAGGTGACCAGCCAAAGAATCTCAATATTCTATCAGCAACTGTTTCAAGAAAACTATGTATTTCATTTCACTGTATGTGAACAGTAGGCAAAGCCTATACAATCATTATAAATATTTCCAAGAAACAAGATTTAGGGAAGCTATATCACAGCATTTAAATTAGTATTTTTTTTTTTTTTTGGAAAAAGAATCTGTAGAATGCACATTCATTAATTAGTTCACGTGGTAAGTATGGATGAGTCAGTCAGTAATAAACACAGTATAATCAATTTCAGTATATCTTGAAAATGCCTAGAGCCTAAAATGCTGTTAGCATGATGTTTTCAAAGAAAGAATGTTTGGAAATCAGTAAAAGAGAGTAAACACGGGAAACTTAAATGCTTTTGACTTCTTATACAGGTTTTTTTAAGTTTATCACAACTGAATCAAGGAAGATAAATATAGCTTAGACAAAATACAATAAAGAAGGTCATACAGAAAACAACCATATTCTAAGTGAAAAAATGTATTTGTTGCCCAATGGTTCATGAGAAATGAAAATAAATGAAGTAAATAGAAAAGAATAAATATTAATACCAATCAGCTGTAAGACACAATTTTTACAGAATAGCTAGTTGCGGTATGGAGGTGAAGTACAAAAGGCTAGAGGTATATTACAAGCAAGCTACGTGGTTTCTTTTCATCAATCTTAGCACAATGGAAGAGGTACCTCTAAAAATGAATCTGTGAAAGGTAATAAAGACTAGATCCTGTTAGAGCTTAGTAACGGAAAAGATGCAGAAACAGAATGGCAAGTCCTTGGAACAAAAAGATTCATGCGTGAATTATGAATTTATGCAAAGGCGACACTGATGATTGCTCCATCCATGCTTAGTTGAATGGAATTATTAGCTACAAATGAGGAAACCAGGGAATTATAGAAATATTTACTTTTTTAAAGATATAGATAGTTCCAAGAGAGATTTTCAAAGGTGCTTAACTAATTCAAATGGAATTAGCTGCTTTGGAAAACCCTATTAGGTGTTTTTAGAAACTCCTATGTCTTTCCAAATATAGACCCAAATTACTAATAGAAATATATTACTTCATAACAATCTTCCAGGGAAATGATGAGTGGTAAATATTGTATTTATTCTTTAGGAAAAAACACCATTGTAAGATGACTGAAGTAATTATAGATCTCTGAATGCTACCTTAAAGCTAGGTAAACTGATTGAAATCGGAAATAAAGAGGTGATTATAAAACACTGAATCAAACAAGTTTTTTAAGGAAAATTCATGCTTGTCCAATCTTCCAGAATTCTTCCTACTTGAGACTGGAATTTAAGCAGTTATATGATAGACATTTAAGTTCTTTCATAGTTTAGAAATTAGTTTCAAACAAAATAAAATCAAAATAAATATTAAATATTTAGGTTCAATATGTACAATTTAGTGCTCCATTTTTGTTACACTTCGGTTCCTAGACCCAGGTGGTCTTGCATACGTTAATCAAATTATCTTTCTAACATTTCTGTGAGGCTGGAAAGAAATATTTTAAGTTGCAGGCTGTTTTATGTTCAAGGTATTGAAGTAGAGACATGCTTTATCATTGAAGAGAAAGGCTATAGAAGAAATATTATATGGATGCTGTAGGATGGATATGAAAACTACGGAGTTTTTTTTAGGCCGTGCTTCCACTGATTCGATAGATCTTTACACCTGAGTCTGTAGGCCTGATTCACATTTACCTGCAAAAACTCCTTTTATATTAAACTAACCTATGATTGACTTGACGCCTCCTTTTTGAAAATCAAAATCATATCAGATGAACTTACTAATATTACATTAATTAACCACTTATAAAAAGATAGTTATTAAGCTGAAAAGTGGCAATATATTGATATTGGAATATTGAAAGATTGATGTAGAAGAGAATGATTTAGCTCAAAGCTCCAAGCGGAAATGTTTAAGAACAATTTAAGAAGATATGATTTAATCAAATGGATTGACAAAATTCTGTGTTGACAAGTGTGAAGTAATGCATAGTATGAGGAATAATCTGAATTCCATAGACATCTTGTTATATTTTAAGAAAACTGATAAAAGTCAATCAGATGTAAAAAATTATCTGAAACTATTTTTCAATGTTGAAGTTTTCTGCTTCTTATCCAACCATGGTCAAAGAATTTGGATCACACCTTAGTATTTAAAATCTGCCAAGATATCAGTTACATCAGTAAATAATTTGATTAGAACAATGCGTATTGCACAAGATTTTCAGCTCTGATCTCACTTTGCCTATTTCTACCTTCTAAAAAAAATCAGGAATAGCTATTTCTGAAAAATGTCACCAGAATAAATACAGAACTAATAAGATGTCTGAATAACATTTTGGAGGTAAGCTAACAATCTATGGAGTGGATAATTCTTTTTAATTCAACATAGTGGATGCATAAACATCCACTAAGCTTTAGAGTAAGTCAGAAATATCTCTCTGTGCATCTTATTTCCTGTATTTATTATCATTAGGATTCTTGGAGTAACTTCTAGCTACTCTTGAATATCAAGTACCAGACTAGGGAGACTATCAATGTGATCCAAAGTATCATTCATACATTGCTATTTCCTGTTCATATTTTTAGAGAGTTCTGCATAGGAGCACCATGGGGTAGTGACAGCTATGTGATGTCAGTTTAAATATGTATTTGGATCACTAGGTTATTTTCTGCCTGCTTGCTTTCTTTCCTTCATTTGTTACTATCAAACATAATCTAGGCTTCCCTCAAACACAGTTCTGACTGACTTTAATGGTCTTTAGTGAGGGCTCCAGGATGCAGTTTGTTGTAATAAAATAGAATGTCATCTCACGATATAATTTTTTTTCATATGGTAGCTCATCTTGAATATATGCAATCTTTCACCGTTTCAAAATTACTTTGATGAAGTAAAGGAGTAGGCAAAAATTGCTGTGATCGTACACTGTGGGTTTCAGCAAAAGAAGAGGATATCTGTTTGCAGAGGATTCTGTCCTAGCAGTCAAAGGCATAACCAGATCAAACAGCTAGAAGTTTCTTTTTCTTTCCTTTTTTTCCTTATCTTTCTATTTTGGTAGTAATAATCATTAACCATTGGAACAACTAGAAATTTTGAAGTCCAGATTGGATGCCTTTCTAAAAGAAATCCTTTAGGTCATCCAGAAGTCATGCACTCAGTATAAAAATAATTGCGCTATAGAGAACCTTCTGCTGAGTCTCATCTGCCTTTTGAAACTCATGGTAAAGTTGTTCTTTTTTTTAACCTTATTGGACATATAGAAAATGTAGGAAAAAGCTGAGTGTGCACATTACATTTCCTTGTTGGATCCAATTTTACCCTTGATTCCATATGCACATCTCTCACCTAGCAAAATTCACAGCTGCCAGAAACAACCCCAGCCGCAGAAGCAGCATTAGCCTTTGCCAGACTGCAGAAAATTTTGCACGTGTGCTCTGAAGAGAAATTTGCATAGGAGAATTCATAGGAGCAAAGTCTTTTGTTTGCGCAGTGGGAGTGGGATGGCCAGACTTTACACAGTAGATATCAACAATTGAGATAAAAGTCTAGAAGTGCATTACTTACATATTTCTATCAGTTTTTAATAATTGAATACTTATTTATAAATATAAATATGGGTTAGGATTGCTTAATTTCCCACTTTTATATGTTTGTGGATATTTAAACATAGCTGTCTTGAAGGCCTTCTACATCCTTCGAAATAACACTAAACTCTGCTTGTTCCTAGAACTCTACAGGTCTTATAAAGTGGTCATGTATCACTGAACTAAAAATATCTGCTCCAAGTTCATTTGTCTAGTGTGTTTCATGGAAATTTTTGTGTTCAAAATGTGTTTATCAAAACAAAGAAAATAATTCTCTTTTAAAAAGAGACCATAGGTGGCTTCCCTATCTGCAGTAACTGAGCAACTTGAAATATCAAGGATTATTCAAAACTGTTAGTGATGTAGAAACTTGGATAGATGGGGGTAGGCGTTTAGTTCTATGTCTCATTTTCAGGCAGTCTGGTAAATTCAAACAGATTTTTTGCTTAACTTTAACTGTCAGTTACACAGACTTAGAGGCTGATCAGAATTAAAACCTTAATTGTGTGCTTTTGCTGCAACTGTTCCTCTAACTGCAAGGTGGAACTCAATTCCTTTTTTTTTTTTTCAGTGAGTGTAAAATCTCCAGACAGCACTTGTATAAGATAATTAAATCAAAAAGATGACAAGACATGCAGGCATTAAGTAGTCTTTGCATGGTATTAAACATCTTTGAAGAAAGATCATTGGAAGCTAAATATGGAAGATTTTTAAGATCTGAAGTAAAATCACTTTATGAGATAGCCTCTATATATTTCATTTGGACTTTACAGCAACTTTTCCTGACATCCTGACATAGTAGCCACAGAAAAAGTTTGGAAGATGTGAATGGAATTTACCTGTGAATGGGGATGCCAGAAACGATCACTCCATCCATCCCTTTCTGATTAGGTGGTCTGTCCAGTTTGGAAGAAGTACATACTTTTTATTCTTTTTTTTTCCTCCTCTGTAATTATATAATTATTAGTCATCATTCTGGGCTTGTTTTCCCCGTATTTCCATAAGTTTTGTTATGATCATAATTGCAGACCCTTTGTTGCAGAAGAGCAAGTTGTATATTCACATGAAGCGTATTTATACAATACTTTCTTAGCTTACTTTTAGCAAAGAAACCCTTTACTAAAGTCAGAGTATAACAACTAAAAGACAGCTTCTTTGCCAAAAGAAAGTTAAAGCAGGAGTTTTGAACTGTGTATTTTCACCCTTTATGGTCATTTCCAGGAAGATTTGAATCATTTTGTTTTTTATGTGCACTGTTGCAACCTGTAGCTTTTAGCTCCAAATAGTACAATAGTACTTTACCTCTAAATTTGTTCAATGAAGCAAGGAGGTGCATTTAAAAGCGCGTTGTGAAATACACCATGCTGCAAAGGTGCACAGAGCTTGTATAGGATCCCTTCCTCTCTTTACCCAATCTACTGTGCTCCTCACAGTTCTCATTTTTCTAGAAACATGAAGTGTTGCATTCTTTGGGAGACAGGAAAAAGTCCTAGCACGTCAGGGACTAGCTTGCATAACAGGTGAGAACTCTGGTTGTGCCTGTGCTAATACCTAAAGCAGTTCAGAAATCATTATTTGGCCTTGGGGCTGACTGGTGTAATCACATATATATAGATAAACTTATTTTACCTTTGCTGGTGCAGAGTACACATCCAGACTGCTTATTGGGAATGGTTCCTGGCAAACTGCACATCATATCTAAGAATATGTTTTGGTAGTTCTGATTGACACGGGCCAAAATCGTGCCAGGAGGTCATTGTAATGGCTAAGGAGTGTGAGCAACCAGTAGTCCAGCCCCCAGACTCACTCTTTGGCCTCAGTTTGTTTATTAATGGAGATTCAACTCTAATGAATAGTTGAAGCTCCATTCCTAAAGTGGAGCAGCCTCTGCACATGAGAGCTCGGGAGAAAGTAGAAACTTCCTTGAGTGCTCCCCAAGCTGACGTGATTCTCTCTGATCCTTAACCAAGCACTGAACCTCACTAGGAAAGGTCCTATCTTGATTTTGTTGAAAAATAAATAAAAGTAGAAGTGAGTAAACTATAGCTCTATTTTGACCCTAAAACTAGCTGACAAAGTAAGATTCAGAGTGCTGTATGATGGATGCTAAAATTGTGTCGTCCTTTTTCAGTCTGTGCTTCCACTGATTCAATAGATCTTTACACCTGAGTTTGTAGGCCCGATTCTCATTTACTCGTGAAGACTCCTTTTATATTACGCTAACCTATAATTGACTTGGAGACTGCTTTTCAAAATCAAAATCAGATCAGATGAACTTACTATAATTCAGAGAGGGGCTTTATGCCCATTTTAACTTACGATAAATAAATCTTGGATTCAGGAAAGGTCTGTTAAGCATTTGACTTCAGACCAGTGCTGATAAGCCTCCTCCTAGTAGGAAATACAATAGTGGATTCCTAACATAGAAAGTTTAATAAGAACAAACATGTTATGCTAATGACATATATACAAAAACAATGGCAAAGGCCGTTTTTGAAGCAGATGTCTCTCTTTGTGACCATGGAAAGCAGAGTAGCCATATACTGTTGTAAGATGCTATTCAACACTAACAATACTATCAAAGTTTGTCCTCAAGTCCAGTCTGCAGCAGTAGAATAAAGCTTTAGGCGGGTTAATAGCACTGCAACACTAGAATAAAGCTTTAGGTAGGTTAATAGCACTGTATTTGAATAGTAAGTGTATAAGACATTCAGGCCTTAATGAGCATTTTTAAGATTACCTGAAGATTAAGCCTTGCCAGTTTGGAGTTTCTGACACATTACTCTGCAGTCCCTAGATGAATGATGAGCAGTTCTCAACAAATCTTCTTAAATGGAAGAAGAGAGTGCAATATATGGTCCAGGACTGACAGGTGCTTTCAGCTGCCCTAGCATTGCTTGGTTTAAATCAATACTTCTAAGTTTTAAATAATATTAATAATATTAATATAATTAATATTAATTATATTATAATTAATTAATATTAATATAATTTTAAATAATATTAAATAATAAGTTTTAAATCAATACTTCTTATAAGTATATGAAGTCAAGGGTAGAAGTGCCTGAACAATATTAATCAATGATGTCTTCCAGTTATTCAATCTATCACTATAATCTAAAATATTCACTTTGGTCTTCAGATCTCACTCATGGTAGCATTGATAAGATCTTCTTTACAAACTTTATTCTCTCATTTTGATTTTGTAAAAATTTTCATGCTTGTGAATTATTTTCATTTCTAGGAGCTGTATATTTTATGCAATTCTAGGTAAAGTTTTAGGTTTTGGTTTTGCTGTTGAAATCCTGTAGGCACAGATATCACAGAGTGAAAGCACTGTGGAGAAATATGTATATCTCCATGTCCCATAAATCTGTATAAATGGCAAAGAGTTAATAGTAAGTACTCTCCTAATAGTAAATTTCTTCAAATTGAAAGCAGTAGCTAAAGTTTCTTTTCTACTTTAAACTAAATAATTAAAAAAGTCGCCTGTTTATATTAATAATAAAAATAAAAGTAGTAAAACAGATCTTTCTTCTGAACTAACCTGAACTTGCTATTAATTAATTTATTTAATGAGTCTCTTAAAATTATATCATATTTGTTTACATGGTATAGTTGTAAATGGGATCTGGCTGTGTGTTCTTATGTAAAGATTGTAAGATGTATCTAATGTCTACTTATTTAGTTCATTCTAATTAGTCTGCCTTCTTAAGTGAGTAATGAGCTTATTCCAAAAATTTTCAGTTTAAAGCATTTCATAACATACATTTGATCTAGGTTTCGGTTGCATAGCATTGGCTTCTGATACTTTCTTCATTATTCCTGAGGAAAGAAAAGAAAGGACACTGACTACATGAGTGGCAGCAGTTGCTATGTTCAGCTTATGCACTAGATGTGGAGTTTGGTCTTGCATGTTTGATGTGAAAAGAAAGGTAATTCAGGCAAAGTTTATAGTAATCCCAACCTCTTTTAATATGTGCAGAGCTAAGGACACGATTGCATGAGAGGCAGAGAATGCAGTGCTACAGGAAACTCTTGCCTTAGCGGATGATTCTGTCAGGAAAAAACGTATATCCTACCACAGTCCAGGAGCTGCATGCTGAAGGCATACGTTTTAGTTGTGGGAACGATTAGGGATAGGGGCAGCGCACCCCAGGCATGTTGCATATTTCAAAATTTGCAGACGAAACTTTGTTAGTTTTTGTTTTGCTGTTTAACAAAATGCTGTAGTTCCACTAGTGATTGATTTCCCTCATATTTTTATATAGGGGATACCAGAGCAATTATGCCCCTTTTGTTTTGTAAGAAATCATTGCGATTCCCACTGGCCTTGATATCTATGAATAAAGATTTTTTTTTTGTCTAATGAAGTGATTACTTCAGAGTTTCCTCAAGGTTTCCAGCAGAATATTGTTTTATCTTTAGTTAGATAATTAACTTTGCTCCCTCCTCATCTAGTTTCTTACGTGACAGTTCATGGCACTTTGCTTATGTTTCAAATGAAATGATAAATAATTCTGCTGGAATTTTTATTCAGGCCTATTATTAACTTCAGTACATATAGGGACCGATTTTGTCCTTAATGTTATAGTACAATACTGATCTGATATTTCTTCATCTTTAGGAGTACTAGGTAAAAAATATGCTAATTAACATTTCCCCCAAATATCTGAAAAGAATAGTTTTCCAGGCACATAAGATTCTTAAAGAGATTTTTTTATTTGAATCAATTTTTCCTAAAATATATTTTTGCTTTACATTGTAGATGACTCTCCTAGTCTCCCTAAGAACTAGCATTATGAACACTTATTTAAAGGAGAAGACTAGACAAGTAAGCTAATGGTATAAAATCTGTAAAGGCACAGATGTCATAATTTTCAAACATAGAAAGTATTGCTTTTAAGGAAAAATAGAAAATTGGAATATTTAATTCTATTTAATTTTTTTTTTAATTTTATTAGTTATTTAATTTTATTTCAAGTTATTTAATTTTTTTTTTTTATTTTATTAGTTATTTAATTTTATTTCAAGTTTGAAGGGTCTTGGGCTACAAAATAACCAGATCATTTTGTTTTCACCTCTAGCTGCCCCTAGACAATGTATTGAACTACACTTTGATGAAAAATATTCCATAGAGCCTTCTTGGGAGTGTAAATTTGACCATATTGAAGTACGCGATGGACCTTTTGGCTTTTCCCCAATCATTGGACGTTTCTGTGGACAGCAAAATCCACCTATGATAAAATCCAGTGGCAGATTCCTGTGGATTAAATTTTTTGCTGATGGTGAGCTGGAATCTATGGGTTTTTCTGCTCGATATAATTTTACACCTGGTGAGTACAAAATATTACACTTTTTGGGAGAAAAAGCTTAGCGTCGTAACTTTGCTAATGATATATAATTATGCTACTGAATAATACTTGTAATATAGACTATGTCTGATATTAAAGAAAGAATTAAAGGATAGGAAGAAGATATATCTTTTACATAATAAGCCAGGCTCATTCAAGGAAGAAATTTTCAATACATTTTTATCTAAGATGCATATACTCAGTGTGTGCAGTTTTTAAAAAATTGTTTTTAATAGAATTCTGTTAGAGAAAATCATTCAAAATATTGCATGGGCAGGCATGTGGTTTGTGCTTGATTGCTGTGCAGCTTTCCCTTCAAAATGATCATTGATAAAGTATTCTAATAAAAAAAAAAGTAATTATCTCAGAAAATTTCATCATTGCTTTTTCACTTCACCAGTCATTTGTCCATTTGAGGAGTGGAATAGTTCTCCCTTTCCAATGAAGCAAGCTATTACATATATTGCCAGAGCAGGTGTGAGGTTCAAATAGCAACATGTATTAAATATTTCTGAAGAAAGATGTAACATCTTAATTGTAATCATACAGTTATTCCTTCTTTGTCATTTTTTTTATTTAATTCATTAAAGTAAGACAAAATTCACAGTCATACTTCCAGTTAAATATTTCCCCCCACCCCCTTCCTAGCAAGCGATTGCTGATCTTAAACTTCATTTTGGTTGCAGCCACACTACACTGCCCTGCACTGCTGGATTTAACATAGTTCTGTACCTTCCTATGTACTGCGTGATGAGTCATACCTTAATATAGCTCACTCTGAAGCACTGTAATTATCATGTAATTTTGCCAATTATGTACCCATTGTTTTACTTAAACTGTTGTATTAGGTGGAACAGTATTCTTTAGACCATGTGCTAAAATTAACAGGCCCCAAATTCTGCTTGCTTAATTATTCCAGCAGTTTCACAGAACATACCAGGACTCCTTGAATGTCTCTCTATGCAACTTTATTTCTCTGATGCCGGGAAAATAGTTATGAAATTAGCCAGAGTAGTTCTTTTTTTTTTTTTTTATAAAGTCAAGGATACTATTTTCTGGAAGGAAAGCATATTTAGAAGATTGAAACAGCAACATACTTTCTGTAAAGAACAAGCCATTAATCTAATATCGAGATATATGTACCTGTTGTAAATACAAAGACAGTAGGTGAAATTTTACTATATCCATACCTACTTGTCTCTGAAGAGTGAATTAGGCTTGTATCTCTCAGTTACTAAAACTCTGTGGACTTCTACCATTTTCCTTCCTATCTCCCTGCAAAGTCTTTTGCTTTGGATTTCTTGTCCTTCTTGTTTCAAAGGGCTATGTATAATGATGGAAAAGATTGCTCATAGCACAATGTGCAGCTTATTCTACCTAAAAAGCCCTCCAGTGAAAAAAATTTCAGGGACCATGTTTTATCCTCATTCTTCTTCTACTGATATAAGGTGGATTTCTACATAAAAATCAATGCTGGTAAACTGCCGAAGCAGCATAAATTATTCCAGTCTTCAGATGGAATAGCTATCTCTCTTCTTTTCATAGCTTTCAAAATGAAGCTCTGCAAGTGATAAAAGAGTTTCTAGGAATATTGGCCCAAATGAGAATATGATTAGTTTGACAAGTGCAAAATAGCACCGTTGCCTTCTTGATCACTGTTAACAGGATGCAGTTTTCATTCTGACTGAATTGCCTGACCAGTTCTTTGTTATGCAGGCACGGATTAATCTGTTGTCCAAATGTCTGCAGTGGAAGAAGTGATGTCAATTCACTAAAAAAGTGACAACTTTCAAGAATGCATAAATCAGTAACATAGAGAGAAACTCAGTTGCCTCCAAAAATTATTACTGAGCCATCTTAGCTCCATCTCGGGTAGTAACTACTCCTGAAATGATGCTATTTACAAAGGAAGGATCACAAGGAAATTCTCAGCTAATATCTGTTTAAAGAATCACAAGAACGTGATCGTTAAGTAGAGGCTCTAGGTGTCTCGGGCAGCCGAACGCCCGGCGAAGATGTGGTTTGTTGCCTCCACCTGGCTGGGTGCACACAGCAGGTTCTTCCGAACTGCAGCCCGTGTAGGAGGCTTTCTGGTTTGTTGGCAAGGACAAGAAGCATGGTGTTGAGAGTGTGTAGGAGGGGGTGTGCAGGGCAAGATTTAACGATTTAAGTAAGTGAACTAAGTTGAAGCTCTAGTCATTTATAATTATTTGAGTGGAGAAGCAAGGAAAGAAATTATTTGCTATGTCTTCAGGGTGTACAAAAACAGCTAACTGGATGAGTTTGAAAAAAAACCCCATCAATTAGGCTATCTGGAAAAATGTTCCAAAGGAGATCCATTATGGAAAGAGTCCTGTTCACCTGAGGCATTTCAAATCTAGTTTGGATTAAGTCCTAAAAAAAGAAATTACATGGAACAGTGCTGGCTAAGGAACAGAGTAATATTTTGCAATTACTAGACCTCTTCTATATCATAATTTTTTTTGACTCCTGGTGTTAAAATGGTTGGAATTCTAAACTGCGCACACAAATCCTTCTCTATGCGTCCATGTAAAACTCCAGTGGAATTTCAGAAGTCACCCTGGGGCTTGCCTTCTTTAACAGATGGGGGTCTGAGGCATCTTGGAACAGATGAGATTCTTTTGTTATGCATTCCATTCTGCTCAAACAGAACTCTGCTTATGTTTTTCTGAGCACATTTAGCGCTCTAAAAGATGTCATCTAGTAGAAGAAACATCTTTCATGACAAATAATTCCAGAAATACATGCACAAATAACACAAACACAGCCATGCCTATCTAGTTCTAATAAGTGCCAGAAGTACTGAAAATTTTGCAAATAATTAATTATTAAGAGGATAACTTGGATTTTCATTTCTGTGATTTTATAAATAATATGACTAAGCACGATATGGTTTAACACAGCTGTATGTATGGTATAATAATCAATTATTTGAAATGTCAGACTTCTAGGCTAAGGGAAGAAGTAGTTATCTTTTTTGTTTATATTATTATAGCTAAATACTAGTGGTAACAGGATGCAAGTGAGATGTAAAAGAAAGCGTCAACCATTTTGTATACATGAAAGTTAAAAAAGCGGAACAGAACACATTTACCCTTTACGATTTTACTTTTATTTTTATTATTAATTGTAAATTATTTTCATCATTTTCTGAATCTATGCACTTAATTCATAAAAGAATAAAAGCTTTTTTTTCAGATTTTATACATAAAATAGATAACATCTCAGATTCTAAAATATTTTCAGGTTGCTCTTTGTTTCCTTTTGAATACAAATTGTGTTGGCTACGGAAGGACACATGAGATAGATCACATGGTATTTCTTTCTTGCTCTTGTTTTGTCATGGTCTGGACTACTGAAAGGCCTGCAGAAGAAATTTCATTTCACATCTCTGGTTACTTCTACTTGATCTGTTATCTTCTCTTCTAGAAAGTTATTCTCAAAAGCTTTTTCTGAGATAGTGTTGAATCACTTTTTTGGCTACTCCAATCTCAACGTTTCAAGCATTACTTCAAGGGGACTTGTTCCTGACAACCAGTCTTTAAAATTAGTCCATTTTTTAGTGTAGACAAGGATTCAGACAAAGAGAGGGTGTGTTTACTTGAGCTTTCTTATTCAGCTAGAATAATCAGATTTCTGTTTATCCTGGTCTCTGATTCTGCAGGACTGGCTTAAGATAGCACACCATTACTTTTAGATAACATCTCAGATTCTAAAATATTTTCAGGTTGCTCTTTGTTTCCTTTTGAATACAAATTGTGTTGGCTACGGAAGGACACATGAGATAGATCACATGGTATTTCTTTCTTGCTCTTGTTTTGTCATGGTCTGGACTACTGAAAGGCCTGCAGAAGAAATTTCATTTCACATCTCTGGTTACTTCTACTTGATCTGTTATCTTCTCTTCTAGAAAGTTATTCTCAAAAGCTTTTTCTGAGATAGTGTTGAATCACTTTTTTGGCTACTCCAATCTCAACGTTTCAAGCATTACTTCAAGGGGACTTGTTCCTGACAACCAGTCTTTAAAATTAGTCCATTTTTTAGTGTAGACAAGGATTCAGACAAAGAGAGGGTGTGTTTACTTGAGCTTTCTTATTCAGCTAGAATAATCAGATTTCTGTTTATCCTGGTCTCTGATTCTGCAGGACTGGCTTAAGATAGCACACCATTACTTTCAGTTCCATCAATTAGTAGAAACTATCTGTGTTTTTATTCAGCCTCATTAATATAAAGGTCAGTCAGTAATTTTTTTGTTCAGTGGTTTGATAATGGAAACAGAAAGGGCTTTATACTCTTATGCCCTGAAAAGTAGGATGTAAAACACTGTCTGATCAGAATAACAGTACTTTTACATCCACATCACATGGGTACAAGTAGCTATAGAAGATCAAGGTAATAGTATAATGATGTCATCTATCGTGATAAAAGAAACAGTCCAAAAACTGGCTGAGTGATTGTTCCCAACTCAGACTGAGGGAAAGTTCCAAATTTTAGTATTCAAGAAAAATTTAATATGAATTTATACAGGCAATTCTGAAGCACTGAGATAAGATATTGTCTAATACATTTTGGCATCAAATGTCCGTGTCCTCCCTTGTGTGTATTTTGGGGAAGGGGAATTTCCCAGGCACCTGGGACAGCTGAAAAATATTTCTGGGAACTGGCTTGCTTGCTTTATTTATTTTCTTGTTCTCTTCTGAAGTTGGTCTCATTGTTTTTAAGTTAACATCAGTGACAATATTTTTCAATTGACTTTTAATTCCAATTAAGCTTCTCAAAAAACAATAAACCATCTCAGAGCCACATGACTGTGGCTGAATCGATCTTTTGCTTTGTTAGTTCTTTTCACAGTGTTTGAAATGGTCAGAAATGATTCATTATAACTCTTCCTTTAAACTTTTGAGCCAGTAAAGTAGATCTGATATTGTTTAAAAAATTGTGAATTTCTTTTCTTTGATTGT